CTGTTAGTTCTATCTATCTATCTATCTATCTATCTATCTATCTATCTATCTATCTATCTATCTATCTATCTATCTATCTATCTATCTATCTATCTATTCACTCACACATTCTATATCCCAAGATGACCATTTCTATCAGAATCCAAAGATACAGCAGTTGTCCTTTAATCGCGTGAGCTAATACTTAACCCTTTCCTAGCCACTGACTTAATCGGTGTGACTGATCCATAAGTATGATGAATCTGAGGAGCTTTACTCGTGTATTTCGGAGTACACGTTGCTGCTGTATTATAAAATACATGTGCACGCTCTGTCAATAGCCATTGCGTCGTGGAGTACTGCATAGAAAAATGTGATAAATGTTTTCTTGTACTTTATGACTGTTTCAAGGATAGACCTTTTTTTTAGCAATGAACCCAATACAGACAGGTAAGATGACACAAGCAGGCCTTTCCAATACGGTGAACAAATGATAGCAAAGACAGTGTCATCTAACATTATATAGCTGCCACCAAAAGAGAGTTTCGTGAAACAGCGTCATCTATAGATAGAATTGGAACAAGTCTCTCATTATTCTTTCCTTATGGCTTCCTAAAATTTTGGTTTCACGGAACTGTTGTTCAGCAGCATGTTTGTATAATATTCGGTAAGCAATACATTTTTCTTCTAAAACTTTGGGGTGCATTAAAGTTTGGCCCCTCAAGAAATAAAATGATGGTTCCTTTCAAAGCCCATCCCCTTCTAAGATAAAAGGGAAGAGCTTTGAATCAAGCCTTTGGCAAAGGGTAGTTTACACGGTGCTTGCCTGATCAGAAACTCTATCACCTTTGCAATAACAGTAAGCAAATTTTCTGGGGTAAATTGCAAGGTTAAAACGACAGCCTGCCTCTGAAAATGCACGGTGTATTTATGACAATGAATACGAGGTACACGAGTACAAAATACATGGCAGCAGGAAAAGATCTGAATGAATATATCGTGCGCTCTTTGACTAGCAGTTAAAAAAAATGGACTCACGATTTACATTCATAGCTATTGCGGTATAGCGATCAGCCTTCTTCCAACGCATCTAAATAGAAACCAAGTCCACTCTGAACGTCTATCGAGCCGACTAACAAACCTAACTATAGAAAGAGAATTTCCTATAGGTCCCCAGAGTGAAAGCTATTGTTACAGAACGTGAACCAACCCAAATCCTATTGACTATGTAGAAATACTAATAAAAAGGACGGAGTTCTGAATCTATGAAACAGTGGTCTAATAGGATGA